TCCCCCCCCCCAAAAGTTTTCCTTTCACAAACTATTCTTCATAATGCTCCATGCTTAGGCTTTGAAAGTGGAGTTGTGAAATAATGTTTGTCTTCAAGGTAAAAAAGATAACTGTCCATTTTATAAACAGTAAGTATAGTTACCCATAAGTTTTTCTATCTTTTATGTTGTATGGTGAATAGGAAATTTAGCAACAGTGGGTAACTGCTGTTCTTCTTTTGATATATATATATATATATATGTATGTATATATAAAGAAAGACCAATCATGTTGCGGAGAAAGGTGTGGGTCTAGAGTGGATTGATGAAATAAATTACACACGAAACTTTTTCGAACATTAAATATTGATTGGAGTTGGTTTGACCGTTCCTAAAGGTTCTCAAAATCTGAATTTATGTCAATTTTCATTCCGGATTGAGTCGTCTTTGGTGAACATTTTAATAAGATTTGTCATCTAGAATCGTTTTCTTTTTGTCTTATGCATCTATATATACATATACATATACATATATACATATATGTGTGTGTGTGTGTGCTTGTACAAATGTAAGTGGATTGAGACTGAAGAATCAACCCTGTAAACACATGACAATCTCTTTGTATGTTAGACGATTACTATCTGCAACTTATTTGGCGCTGACCCACTAACCTTCTTACAATTGCAAAGATTGTTAAAGTAGTTTCAACTCCCAACTTTCCTCTGAAAACACAATTCATTTGTCTGTTAATTTATTTCATCAGAGCTTTACATATATATATATATGTATGTATATATGTATTCTAAGTGTTAGGTTCTTTGCTCCAACAAAAGTCTTGCCTGTAAACAACCACTCAAGTATTCCTCGCTCGCTCCAACTAAACGACCACAGACTAGGGGTGTATATCTATATATTTCACTAGTCTTCGTTGCTGGTAAAACTTGAGAATTTTATTCATTATGCTATATATATGTGTATATATTATATGGCTACCAACTTGGACTAGCCATGGTGTATTTAATAATAAATTAGACGGACGCCACCTACTTTTCTTGTTTCGGTGAATTGGAGGGTGGTCAGACCACAGCAAGAATTTGGTCAGAATTATGAAGCTAAATATTGGGGTTTGGGGCTGTACATACACACATACTTATACGTATGTTATTGGGCAATGGGTCACTCTCAGTTTGAGGAAATAATTTACCAGACAATTGAAATAACTATTCAAAGTTCAAACCTATATAGCAAACAAGTCTCAATATTTGAAGTAACATCACCCATGATTTCAACATACAGTTCACGTTCGATGTATCGAACAATATTGGAGGGACATGAATAATTAAAACAATTATTGAGACTTAAGATCTTGTTTAGACTTAATTAATTATTCATATAAAGTGAAAAAAAGAAAAGAGATAAACTTAATCCTATAGTTAATTGTACCTTACGAAATAGTCAAAATTACCAAGAGACACCATTTGTTTAATCCTTACTAGAATAAGTTCAAGTTTTACAAATCAATCATATAACATACAAATGAAAGTGGGGAAGTGTTGCCAAGATTACACTAACAAATTCTAAGAGTCGCCGAAGTTGTTGAAAGAGCGGAGAAAGATATTAATATTCCAAGAAAGAAATTTCAAGAGTGTAAGCATTGAATTACATCAAGAAAGAAATATACCACTGATGAGAACAATTAAGAAACAATATAATGATGTGTTCAAATCACATCAGCTGTTGAAAAACTATGCCAACTTAAAATTTGAATTGAACACCCAATTTTGTAGGTTTCTATAGTCACCAAATCCACACACCATGTCCTGATCTCTGTACACATTTCACCTTTACATCACTTGCTACTCAAGGACAAATGAAGTCTCATAGCAAAGTCATGTCTCTTGTATGTTTAACATTTCTCCATCCTGAAGATAGAAGTTCTAAATATTTCTTGAGCTAATCATCTTCATGACCAACTTCGTCTCATGTCTTGTTATATCTATGTATCATGCTAGGTGGAAAAGGGATATATCCTTAAGGAAGGTTCATGATATCATCACTTGTCAAGTATCCGACAATGTTGACATTTTATTTTCTAGTTATTAAGATATAAAAATGATAACAACAAATTACAGCAACCAAATTAATTTTTATACCAGTGAAAATTTGGATTTTGACATGGAATTCTTCAGAAGAAAAATTGAATTTAACACTCACTTGTTACTGGCAAATTACAATGCAAAAAACTAGCATAACAAATACCTATTAACGTGCAAAATTTCCCATCCCATGGTCAAAACAAGTGAGTTTGACCTCTGAAAAAGGACACTAACAAATAAGATAAAGACAAACAAAAGCAAGGAACTAGTATCTTAGAGACAACTAATCAATGCAATGAACTAACTGTAAGTAATATTTGCTTAATCGTGAGAGTACCTGATCATTTGCCGACTTATTAAAGCATAGGATATTTCTGCCTCTTAGCACTTGAGCATACTGCTTGAGACCTGATATGTCTATTTGATGACATGATGTGCTTTTAAGAGTTTAAAGAATATTTACCTTATGGCATGAAACAATGAGATTATAATTCAACATAACACATCATTCACTTGGTGTTTGACTTGCAAGGACATAAAGAAAGTGGGTGAGAGAATTTTCAGCAGCCATAACAGCTGCATTTACATTTTCCTCAGTTTCCTCAGTCATAGCCATGCATTGTTCCTGAACTGAGTGCACTCTCCGGACAAGTTTACGCAATTCCTGAAAAAAGATAAGAAGATACCAAAATAAGAATTAAAAAAAATATTGAAGTGGCAAGTAAGGAATAGGAATAAGGTTAGTGAGCATAAGCCAGTACGAAAAATTTGGTTCCAGGTGTATATTAGGCATGTAGAAATGATCATTGATCAACAACATATAAATTTATCATTTATAAATTTTAAAAGGCTACAACCAACCTGACGATCAAAATCAACATTGTCGAGAGAATACACTTCATTTGTAACTTTCATGTCCTTACTAATTAGGCCACTGAACCATCTAGTTGCCTTGCTGATGCACACTTGTGACATCTGAAACGAAGCACAAGCTGTGAAATGCACATATCTTTATAACCTGACAGAACATTTTCGGAAAAGCTTGGACCCAGATAATATTGCTTGTACTAAATGTACATGGAAGTTCATTATGCCAAATTCATAACAAGAGAAACTTGATAACGTAAGTCATTTGTCAATGCCGGATGTCAGAGTTCCAATTACACTACATTGTTCAAATCCAAAGACACCCATCTGTAAATAAGCAGCTCTAAGCTAACACTCTGACCCTAATTAATCATCTTACCGCATTACAATACAATATAGTATACACACCTGTTCTTGATCGTCACAATGCATTTCTTCTAGTTCATCACCATTACACGCATTCACTTGTGGCGTTGAACCAGCAAGTGCCTGCAGTGTTTTCTGGTCGCCGTCTTTTGTAGCGCGAATCAGTGTATCCATTAGATCAGGTTCCACTTCTCGCAGCAATTTCCCTAATACCCATTTGGCTCAATAAGGTAGAAGATAAATCATAAAAGCAAGACGAAAACACAATTGAACTTGCTCACCAATATAATTGAACTGCCTTCGTTTTCCTTCTCGAACCTCGGGCCCGAGTCTCTGTGACATACAAACAAACGCCATGTCTACATAAGGAAAAAAAAAACATAATAACATCTCCTCCCAAATTTAAAACAACAAAGAATTAACCAAGGAATTCAAGTTCTTATGATACAACAAGCACCTTCACTAGCATTAAAGCATCGAACACGTCTTCGTCAAGCGAAGCAGCCCTACCATATTCCACAGAAAAAGAAAATTAAAACAAATAATAGGTACCTTTCTTCTATGTAAAAACTACCAAGTTATTGCAAAGAAACGGTAGGGGAGTGAGAGTCGGGGTGAAGAGTACTTGAGGATGCGTTTGATTTTAGGGGTGGAGAAGGAGGCAAGGTCCACGCCCCACTGGAAGGCGCGGCGTGCCTCCCGTTTCTTCTGGTTGCGGCTCTTTTTAACTTCAGTATCTGAGTCGGAGTCGGTTGTGTCTCCTTTCTGGCGATCGGACGGTACAAGCGCATTGGCCAATCTAGGACGGCGTGACCGGTGATGGATGCTCCGGTAAGAGGGAGGCAATGCGACGCAAGACGGAGAATGGAATATGGTTTTCGCGGATGCTGTTTGCGGTAATGATGGAACCAGGATATGGTTGAATAGTGTATAATAACAACTTCGATGCTGCAACTTCGGCCATTGCCTCAGAGGCTGTATCAGGCGAGCCATTTTTTCTGCTTCGTGTTCAGCTACCTGCAGTCTGCAACTCTCTCTCTCAATATGGGAGCATGAACCCAGCGAGTTGAACGGACTCACTCCTAGGCCCATCTTTACTATGGGCCATGAAAGTGAGGACCAATACTTCTGCTCAAACTACTAGACTATCTTGGGGTCATATTGTAAATTCTGAAAGTATAGGGTTCATATTGTAAAGTTTTGTAACTTAAAGTTAATTATGTAAATAGAATAAATGTATATTTGTGTGTAAATACCCTTAATTTATGATTAATAAAATAATCATATCATTTTTTCTCAAAATCGAGCTCTCTGTATTCTCTCATTGGCTTCCTAACGCATTTTTCTTCTTGCGTGTGATTCCACCGAATCTTCTTCATCTCGAGTTTGATTTATATTCAATCAATTTACAAATTATTCGTAAACTCTATCATGGTATCATAGGATTGAAGAATTTTATCGTAAGTCACTGGTTGCGGTAATTTCTTAAAGTCTATCTTCTGTTATTTGATTATTTAATTATTAAAAATTAAAATTCTTTTACGGAGCAATAAAATTGTTGATGACATAATCTATATATATTTTTTTCACTTGTATACATGCTCTTTTTTCCCTAAAGTTTTTCCAATTGTGCATTTTTAAACTATAATTATTTATTTTATAATTTTCATTTTTAAGAAATTAACTAATTTAAATTATTAATTAGTTTTAATTATATACATCAATATAATTATTTTAATAACAATTCATCTAAAAATAAATAAATATTTTGATTAAATTTTTAGTAATATTTTACAAAAAAAAAAAAAATTTATCATACTACAACAATTTTTAATGTAATAAATTTATATAACTCGTTAATTAATTTTAAACAAAAATAAAAAAGAAGAAATAAGACGTGGCTGCCAATCATCATGGTTGACGTTGCAGAAAGAAACTTTACAGAAAGTCCAGGCTGTTAAAAATGCTGCCCGACGTCCGAGTCCGCACAGTCCAACACACACCGCCACTTCTTCCGGCTACCAGCACTGATCGGTTTCCCATTTTCGTCCCCGACCGGACGACCTCGTCGCCGCATTTGCATGCGACCAAACCATCGGCCGCCTTCGCCTGAAAAGCGCGCGGTCGTAGTCCGCACGTTTATCAGGATTAGATAGAGTGGCGTACGCTTCATGGACTCTGATGAACTCGCTTGCGGCGCCCGCTACATCAGGATGCAGAGTTCTCGCCAATTTCCTGTAAGCGATCTTGATCTCCTTACACGTGGCTCCCATCTGGATCCCCAAAACTTCATAAAGAGATGATGGTGGTGAAGATGCGAGGAGTGGCCTTGTTGGCTGGGCCGTTGATGCGGAAGTCGCGGAGACAGGACGTGGACGGAAGCTTGCAGAGGTAGGCAGGGAGCGACGGTTGCTAACGACGACGACGTTTTGGGGAATGAGATGAAGGGAGGAAGCCATGAGTGATTTTGAATTTTGGTTTTTGATGATTTATAAGGGGTTGGAAAAACGAGTTATCCATTTGTTGGCTGACTCAGCAACTCGTCGGTGCTTCTAGAAGCTTTCTTTTTGCCGGCTATTGATTAACTGAATAATCTTTTGTTAATTTCCATGACTAATCTTCTTAATAATTTATTTTCAAATAATTACGTATGACTTTACCAAAAAAAATTTAAGGATATTTTAGAATAATTAATTAATAATTATTATTATTTTTATATAAATGGAGACACAAATTAAAATAAAATTAAGATATCGTCGTACATATCATGAGTTAAAAGACGTTTATAATATCATTAATTAGAAATTGTTGGAGATCATTCGATATTTGAACATGAGAATGGAGATCAACTAATAGAGAGAAACAAATATTCGCCAATCAATCAACACGTTTATTCTTTTCACAATAAATATATTAGATTCAGATATGTCAATACTATAATAGCAAATGCTTAATCGCACGAACGAAAATGATATGTACATT